AGTATTCTTATAAACATTTTTCAGTCACATAATTCAGAGATGGGAGAGACTGATTGGGTAATCTAGTCTATCCCCATGCAAATGCAGGATTATTCAGCGAATCGTAGATTCTCAGAATACATACAAAATAGCACTAAAAAGCATATTGTTTACGTCACCACAATTACCTTGTTAATTTATAATGTCCATGGTTGTCAACTGAATATGATAATAGTACTACCACATCATGACACGCAAATAAGCTCTGGCAGATTCAGGATTTTAGATCAGTCAGTTCATACTATACTTGGTTGGGTTCTTACATTTTTACTAGTTAGGCAGAAAATAAATCTAACCTTGTGTTTTTAATTCTATTTCACTGGAACTTTAGTGGAAGTTGGGCAATACATTACAACTGATGAATTTTATGCTTGTGAATTAATTTACTATTGTAGAGCTCCCATGACAACATATTCCAAGAGCCATTTTCCAGATGGTTTAAACTCACCATAAGAAGTGCTTCAGAAACACTAAAAGAAAAGGAGTATTTGTGGCACCTTACAGACTAACAAATTTATTTGAGCATAAGCTTTCGTGAGCTACAGCTCACTTCATCAGATGCATTCAGTGGAAAACACTATATTTCTTATTGCCTTTTTAGTGTTTTACCTCTTCCCTGCCCTGAATCCAAGTCCAGTTTTCTACGTTATCTTCCTCCCCTTCCTCTCCTCCAATCTCCATCACTCTGATGGCTAGAATTTGGTGTAGTTTCTGATGAGTACTATACCTCAGATGCCAGGTATCAATGAAGACCCTTCCCCTTTTTACTTCCAGTGAAAGTCTTTCATTCACCTAAAAGGTAGATTTCAAAATCCGTGTAGTAATGGAAACAAAAATACCCTTTCACATCTAGAAAATTACTTTGATAATCCTAAATAGTAGATATACACAATGCAGAAACCTTTGCAACAAAAATCTTCTTCCATTGTTTCTGTGACCTTAGCTACCTGACTCTCTTTACATGGTCAGTTGATTTATGTCATGTGGTGAGTGCTAAAATTTCTCTCGTGGAATGACATAAGAACAGAAGTCATTACTTGTCATGACTGCATGAAGGAGGGCTGCTGACAGCCAGGAGAGATCAAAAGCAGATCAGGTTGCTTAGCAAACTATATGTCACTGAACTCAGAAAGGCTAAATTGAGAATCCTGGAGAGCTGAGAAATCTGGGGGCAATTGATGGAGACAAATTCAGTAGGTATATTAATAAAATACCTAGCTGTTCTTCAGTCTTCTGTTTATTAAAATGTCTAGTACATAACACATTAATCCCCACCATATATTCTTTTTAAACAAGAACATCAGAAATAAACTGCCTGTGAGTTTAATAATGTATGGTGTACACTGGTACACTGTAATTTGTGTATGTCTTTAATTCCTCATTTTTTACCATTTTGTAACTGAAATCTCTGTTCCAAGCAAGAAGGCAGCAGGCATCCAACTTACTTTTCCAAAATTCGTTTAGACTGACACTTTTAGACTAATTAAACTCTTGGAACAGGTTTTCTTCACTAATATTTGCAAACCGCAAGGCATACAATTCATAAACTTAAAATAGACAAAAGCCTATGCAGACATAATGGGAAAGGCATAAAGATATGGAAATCATGAGTTTTTTTTTCCTTGAAGCATCTCAAAAAACCTACCCCTTTGATACAAGCAAGCATCCAAGCTGATCACTGTGAATTAGCATTTCACAGAAATCATCTAAAACAAATCAAAGATGGCTTTAAGTCTGCATGTCTCTCTGTGTGTTACTTACATATTTAGATTGTAATAAAGGCTTAAAATGGAAACCTTTGTAACCATAAGTCTAGCAGCTGATTCCAGCAATTGCTATATTTTCCAATCTCATTCTGAAACAAACCTATTGGACTGAGGTTTCCCATGACTGATCTCTATTCAAAAAGGTAAATTTTTTTCTTCTTCTTCTTCTTTTTTTTTTTTTTTAAATTTTAGGAGGGTAAGAAAAAAGCCCATTGTAATAAAATTTTAACATACTTTTTGAATATGGACACCGTATTTTTTAAAAGTGAAATGGACTGGTGCCTTTGTTCGAATTGAAAACAGTCTTTGTTGTACCAAAGTTATGAGTGATTGAAAGTTTCTGACTTGCAGTTAAAAAAAAAAATTAAAGGTGAAATTCTGACCCTACTGAAGTCAATAGGAGATTTGCCATCGACTGCAATGGGGTAAGAATTTCACTAAGAGTCTACAACCTTGCACTTAAACATGAATACATGTGCACACAGCTACTTAAGGGTCTAATATTTCAAGGTACTAAACACCTCTTGAGTTTTGTCAGCTATCACTGCTGTCAAATGCAGAGAAGTACTGTGTCAGGAGACGGTCTTCACCTTGCAGATTCAAGCCCTAAGTGTTCAGCTATTTAGGTAGGAACTTGCTAGTTTAAGGAATTTATAAGATCCATTGGAAAATCAGCAATGCTTGAATAAAGCATGAGCTAAATAAATAGTTATAAGAAAGGCAATTGAAGCCAGATTCATTTTCTCTCTCTTTTTCAGATAAAAGTTATATTACATTTTAAAAACAGCATTCGGACATGGTTAACTTTGCCCCATTGAAAACCTTAAATGCACTAATTTATTCCAGATAATTCATAAAGTGTCCAAGGTGGTGAGCTTAACATACCTAGAGCAACTTTAACTGTTGGAATTTCCTGACTTGTGAGTGCTTGAACTTGTAATTTTAACATTGTATTAACACTAGTTTTTGCACCTAGGTTGACATTCTCCCATGGTGTGGAGGGCCAGCATAAGGCATTCTGCACCATTCAAGACCTGCAGTAAAGCTGTGAAGGACTGTGGATTGGTTTTGAATGGGTTCCTCTATATAGGACCTGGAAGAGCTCCTACACTGGTCCCAAATTGGCTATTGCTAAGAGAAGTGTGCAGGAGAGATCATGGAAGATGTAGCTACATGGATTCAGTAGCCCTAACAAACTGAGCAGTCACTATTCCAGTTTAGGGGCTGAAGCAATGGCACTAGAGTGATCAGGCTGCAGCCCCATGGTAGGTTGAGGAAGAAATATAATTTCCATCCCCATATAACCCGTGCTTAATTCCCCCACACAAGGCCCAATAACTCCATATGGATGGTGCAAATTTCACTCTTAATGTAAAGATATTTCAGCTTTTGTCAATGCAAAGAAAACAGCTTTGAAAATTTCTCATGGTGACATATGAGGAATTATGACCCTAATCTATGGGAGTGTGCTAATAAAGTTTGCGGATGATACAAAACTGGGAGGTATTGCCAATTTAGAGAAGGACCGGGATATCATACAGGAGGATCTGGATGACCTTGTAAACTGGAGTAATAGTAATAGGATGAAATTTAATAGTGAGAAGTGTAAGGTCATGCATTTAGGGATTAATAACAAGAATTTTAGTTATAAGCTGGGGACGCATCAATAGAAGTAACAGAGGAGGAGAAGGACCTTGGAGTATTGGTTGATCACAGGATGACTATGAGCCGCCAATGTGATATGGCTGTGAAAAAAGCTAATGCGGTCTTGGGATGCATCAGGAGAGGTATTTCCAGTAAGGATAATGAGGTTTTAGTACTGTTATACAAGGCACTGGTGAGACCTCACCTGGAATACCGTGTGCAGTTCTGGTCTCTCATGTTTAAGAAAGATGAATTCAAACTGGAACAGGTACAGAGAAGGGCTACTAGGATGATCCGAGGAATGGAAAACTTGCCTTATGAAAGGAGACTCAAGGAGCTTGGCTTGTTTAGCCAACTAAAAGAAGGTTGAGGGGAGATAGGATTGCTCTCGATAAATATATCAGAGGGATAAATACCAGAGAGGGAGAGGAATTATTTAAGCTCAGTACCCGTGTGGACACAAGAACAAATGGATATAAACTGGCCACCAGGAAGTTTAGACTAGAAATTAGACTAAGGTTTCTAACCATCAGAGGAGTGAAGTTTTGGAATAGCCTTCCAAGGGAAGCAGTGGGGGCAAAAGATCTATCTGGCTTTAAGATCAAACTGGATAAGTTTATGGAAGTGATGGTATGATGGGATAACATGGGTTTTGGTAATTAAATATTCATGGTAAATAGGCTCAATGGCCTGTGATAGGATATTAGATGGGGTGGGATCTGAGTTACCCAGGAAAGAATTTTCTGTAGTATCTGGCTGGTGAATCTTGCCCATATGCTCAGGGTTTAGCTGATTGCCATATTTGGGGTCAGGAAGGAATTTTCCTCCTGGGAAGATTGGAAGAGGCCCTGGAGGTTTTTCACCTTCCTCTGTAGCATGGGGCACGGGTCACTTGCTGGAGGATTCTCTGCTCCTTGAAGTCTTTAAACCACGATTTGAGGACTTCAATAGCTCAGACATAGGTGAGAGGTTTTTCGCAGGAGTGGGTGGGTGAAATTCTGTGCAAGAGGTCAGACTAGATGATCATAATGGTCCCTTCTGACCTTAGTATCTATGAATCTATGAAGTACTTAAACCTGCACCTAACTTCAAGAACCATTCTGAATCAGCGTCTATATGCCTTCATTCTTGGGTATCGAGATCAGACAATATCCACCAGATAATCATTTGCAAACTGCAAAAGCTACTGTATGAACTCACTTCACAAGGCTGAACTGGGGCCAGGGGTTGTCTCCAGGGAAACTGGGGCAGCTAGTTTATGCTGCTTCATCTTTACTCCTCAGCAATACTCAGAACTGCATCTGAACATTTTCCTGACATGCAATTCATTTAAAAATCTTGATACCATGGCTATAACATATTCTGATCACTCGCTCTAAAAACACCAACCAGTAGAGTTAATCAAGTCAAGGATACAAAGGCAAAACGTAGGAGGTAAGATCTACCTTTCATAATGTATTTTACAGATGAGCAAGTTTCCAGAAATTATACAAAAAGTGAAATAGAGCTATATGTTATTGACATATCTGTAGTCTGATCTAGTTACAGTACCTCGCAAATCTTTTTTTAGTTTGCGAAGATCTTTTTGAAAGTCTTCAAATTTCATTTGTGAAGCCTGAAAGAGGTCCTGTGGCTCTGGAAGAGGAAAGATGCATTGCTCTTTTCCAGCATCCTGACAAAAATATAAATGAACATTTACTTTACCTTTATTTTTAAAGGTATACATTTTAAATAACTAGCACTTATTAAAATTTTACTTATTAAAACAGATAGTGGACAGTTAGCACAAGTATTACTTATGAATAATAACATACAGATTAAAGTAGTCTTAACCAATATAAGGTAATACAAGTTTTAATACTTAGTTTATGTAATTTTATTTAAATTGGCAAAGGTAACTCACTCACCTCATCAAAATTACGCAAATAATATGAGACAATATATGATAGAAGACTTCTGCTATTATCCTGTGTAGAAAAAACAAAATAATAAAGTTAAATTTTATTGTGTTGCTATGTCATATTTAAAGTATAGTAAGATCTATTAACTTTTTTTTTAAAAAAAGCTACAATTAAATCACCTTTATTCTAGAAGAGCAAGGGAATTCTGAATGGAAGCTAATGTTCCTCACTGAATGATGCTGTTAAAAGCAAAACATACCCTTAAGTCCTTTGCTGAATAGGGATGGACTTAAGGAAGTACTTAAAGCCAAAAAGATGCTTAACTACTTTGCTGAGTTGTGGCCTTAAATGAAAAAATATTTCAGTCTCTCTGCAGATATTACATCAGATCACATTTATACTCAGGTCATATTTTCAAGCTTTTCTTCACAACCAGGAAGGCTTGAAACTTACTTTGCTTTCCTAAATGAAAGCTGAGTTTCTGATATAATCAGCTCACTCCAGGAGTCAGTGCCATAACCGTGGGTGTATAGTGCCTTTGCCTTGCTTACCATTTTCACCCAAATGGCTAGGCAGCTTTAATAATAGGATATTTACCATCACTACCATTTCTTTCATAAAACTGTTCCACAGCCCAGTGACTCTCTGTATTGTATATACAGGCCTGACAGATTCATATGACGAAACTTGGGTTAGTATAGGAAACACATCACCTTATAGATGTTAGGGCTCCCAGTATTAGGTATTTCATATGGTAATTATAACATGTCATAAATATAAAGGGAAGGGTAAACCCCTTTAAAATCCCTCCTGGCCAGAGGAAAACTCCTCTCACCTGTAAAGGGTTAAGAAGCTAAAGGTAACCTCGCTGGCACCTGACCAAAATGACCAATGAGGAGACAAGATACTTTCAAAAGCTGGGAGGAGGGAGAGAAACAAAGGGTCTGTGGGTCTGTCTTTATGCTGCCTTTGCCGGGGATAGACCAGGAATGGAGTCTTAGAACTTTTAGTAAGTAATCTAGCTAGGTATGTGTTAGATTATGATTTCTTTAAATGGCTGAGAAAAGAACTGTGCTGAATAGAATAACTATTTCTGTCTGTGTATCTTTTTTGTAACTTAAGTTTTTGCCTAGAGGGATTCTCTATGTTTTGAATCTAATTACCCTGTAAGGTATCTACTAACCTGATTTTACAGAGGGGATTTCTTTACTTCTATTTACTCCTATTTCTATTAAAAGTCTTCTTATAAGAAAACTGAATGCTTTTTCATTGTTCTCAGATCCAAGGGTTTGGGTCTGTGGTCACCTGTGCAAATTGGTGAAGCTTTTTATCCAACATTTCCCAGGAAAGTGGGGGGTGCAAGTGTTGGGAGGATTGTTCATTGTTCTTAAGATCCAAGGGTCTGGGTCTGTAGTCACCTAGGCAAATTGGTGAGGCTTTTTACCAAACCTTGTCCAGGAAGTGGGGTGCAAGGTTTTGGGAAGTATTTTGGGGGAAAGACTTTCCAAACAGCTCTTCTCCAGTAACCAGTATTTGTTTGGTGGTGGTAGCGGCCAATCCAAGGGCAAAGGGTGGAACATTTTGTACCTTGGGGAAGTTTTGACCTAAGCTGGTAAAGATAAGCTTAGGAGGTTTCCATGCAGGTCCCCACATCTGTACCCTAGCGTTCAGAATGGGGGAGGAACCTTGACATAACACCTACTCAGTCATTTTTCACTATTTTCTCTCTCCCAAATACTTCAAAATCAGTATTTACTAGAACTGTTTTTTGTTACAACAGTTTCCACTTCTGAAACATATACAGTTTTAAAGAGTAAAATTAATTATATTGAAGGAAACACTCACTGAAAATAAAAACCATAAATATGCAGCATATGGAAATTCAAATATACACTAAGTTAGGGAGTAAGACAATTTCTAATTTAAGACACTGATTTGTTCATCAGTTTAATAGCCATAGAGAAGGCAGATTCATTTCCAAATTGTTCTACAAATAAATTCACTCTATAACTGCAATCAAAGTTGTATCCACTGATAAATATTTCTGTCTGATACTAACTTTAACTTTATATGAGATCTGGTAAACATTTATTAAGAAAAGTGCGATAAAGCAGCACTCTGTTAGTAAAGAATGAAATATTGTTCTACAGTCAATATACTTACACTGCTCTTAACATCTTTCAGCTTTGGAAGAATGTCCAATCCAAACCCATCTGCCTGTCCCCGTGTCCTGTTTCCACCATTCATGTAATTTCCAAATGCGAGAACCAAACCCAGAACCTGCATAACTCCTGACCCACTTTTCAAAGTCTGTAAAACAGGATATTTATATATAAAAACGTAAAATCTCAGTTGAAATCCTTAATAAGTCAAAGAAAAAAATTAAGTAAGTATGGATATCAGTAATTAACAGATTAATTACAAGCTTTATATTGCAGTTTGATGTTGCATTTTACACTGTAGCTATAATTTTGGAGAACATCAAACTTATATCAGGGACACTCAAATCTAACGCAGTAATGACAATTTTCAGCAAATTAAATTCACTCTAATTTTAGCACACCTGATTACTCTCAAAATGGGTATTTGAGGGGAAAATGGTATTTGTAGGTTTCAAGTTACTACATTCTTTATGCATAGGGCCCTACCAAATTCACGGTCCATTTGGGTCAATTTAACGGTCATAGGATTTTAAAAACTGTAAATTTAATAATTTCAGATATTTAAATCTGAAATTTCATGGTGTTGTAACTGTAGGGTTCCTGAGGCAATGGATTGCTGAAGTTAGAGGGCATGGTATGATATTGCCACCTTTATATCTGCACTGCTGCTGACAGGGCCCTGCCTTCAGAGCTGGGTGCCTGGCCAGCAGCCACCGCTCTCCAGCCACTCAGCTCTAAAGGCAGTGCCGAAGTAAGGGTGGAAATACTGCAACCCCCTTACAATTACCTTGCACTCCCCTCCCCCCAGCCCTCTCTTGCTGGGGACCTCCAGTTTGAGAAACGCTGGTCTCCCTCGTGAAATCTGGTCTTGTGTGTACTTTTACCCTATACTATACAGATTTCACGGGGGAGACCAGATTTCACAGTCAGTGACGTGTTTTTCACAGCCATGAATTTGGTAGGGTCCTATTTATGCAAAAAGAGAGTATGAGGTATAACAACAGATTGACCATTCAGAAGGAGGATCAGTACTTTCTTAGCAGACCATGGTATTACCTAGCGGTGCATTTACTTTGGTCTCTGATCCTGCAATCAGTTTTGCAAAAACAATAAATATATGGCACAAGGCAACTTGCAGGACTGGGGCCTTAGGGAACACACATTTCTAATAGGAAGAAGCAATTATTTTTTAAAATGTCCATTGTATAAAGATTAAATTTATCCTAAGTATGTTTAAATGTTTCTTACAAGCATTAGGCTATGAAAAACTAACTCTGCATTACTTCAACAAAGCTATTGATTTAGTACTAATTTTACACCAACCTTTTCAAGACACATCACAAACAGCAGAATTGGCATTATTTTTCTTTAATAAAAGGTTTAAGAAATTTGCATAGTATTAATTTAAGTATGCGACCTTTTATCTGTTGCTAAGGAGGCAGCTCGTTTAGATCAGATATTTCAGATCTGTTGAACAGACACATTCAGAATCAAAGCATGCACTTAAAATGAGCTAAAATGGCATTCGTTTGGAAAGTGCAAGAAGTGAGACAGTAACTATGAAGACAGAAGATTTTTGCTTTGGCAAAAGCAGAAGTTACAGTATTCTCTAGAGGCTGATGTGTATTGGCTGCAAACTCGTGATGTTATAGTTCAGCAGCGAAAGCCAATTTTAAAATTTGCTTTGATCTTGGAGTACAATCATAAAATGTTCCATTCTGCAGGACTGCTATCCCTCAAATTTAATGAGTGCTTAAAGTAAATAAAAGAAAACTTTTGAAATATGAGTACAGCTGAACAAGAAAGATTAAATATCAGAAAATCTAGCTCTACCTTTATATGGACCACAACCCACCTCACACAGTTTCTGTAGCAATTCAAGTTTGCGATGGATAGAGCAAATGGTTTCTGAAAATGTTGATTGGAACAGGATACAAAATACTCGTTCTGAAAAGTTGGGGATTAGTGAGAGTTCATAAAGAAACCTGGAGGAATGATTAAAGAAAATGATTTAGTTTAGTTAGTGAAGGTTTTTCACTTCTATTTGCTTCTTCCTAACACTTCCAGTTAGGTTACTAGAGCAAATTAAGTTTCCCTAAAGAATGCAGCATACACATCTCCCAGGAAACTTGTTCTGTTGAAGACAGTGTCCTTACTGTTCAGGTTTGTCCAAAGATTTGGCATTCTCCCTCTCTTTCGATGATTTGCCGTGCTTTTCTATTTTTTCCAGTTCATCTGATTGTGCTCTCTGGAAAAAACAAGCAAACAAAGAAATTAAAAAGTGTTTATTCAAAAGCTAGACAATTAAGCTTTACAAATAATTATGCCCTTGTAACCTCACTTCTTTTTAACTTTACTTTTTAGCATCTGTTCATGGTAACACTACTTAATTTGTGGAGTCATTTTAAGTGTAAATATGTTTGATTCAAAACAGAACATCTCTGAATTCTCCAAATAAAATTATTGACTATTAGTAATCTGCAAAACATTTATTTATTCAAGTATGTATTGAGACAATGCTTTTTCTTCCTGCCCTCCTCTCCCTTTTATTTTGCTTTTGGCTGTTTATAAAACCTCCAAGATCAAAGTATTTCCCTTTTAAGTGGTATTTCTCATTCAAAAATCAGTTGGGTTGCAAATGAACGCAATTTGATCTATAGCTACATATATTGTATTTTTAACTAAATCAAAGGGGTTCATATTGTTTAGTGTTATTAACTTTTATTTGTGGCACCTTAGAGACTAACAAATTTATTAGAGCATAAGCTTTCGTGAGCTACAGCTCACTTCATCGGATGCTTATGCTCTAATAAATTTGTTAGTCTCTAAGGTGCCACAAGTACTCCTTTTCTTTTTACGGATGCAGACTAACTCGGCTGCTACTCTGAAACTTAACTTTTATTCAGGATTTTGAAAAAGGAATGGAACAACAAAAATAATTATTGAACTGATTTAAATGCAAGTATCATATAAGAAACACATAACAATACATGAACAAACAACTATGGTATTTTTTCCTGGAGTATAATGAATCTCACTGTATCTTAAAAAATAACCCACTGCAATCACATGTAAATTTCATTTTTCTTCTCAACTTTAGTTCCTTGGATGACCCTGTATTAGGGTGTGTGGTTATTTTTTGAATATTTCTGATAAGCGGAGAGATATTTCATAGGTCGCAAATCTTTCTATATTCACTGCAATGCTACAATTAATTTTCCTAACTATAGTGCTGCATTATTGGGTGGAATTTTTCTTCTTGGTTTCATGACGATTTTTAACATGTGTTTGTAACTCCTGACAAAAGTATAACATACAGGGGAAAGTAAGTTAGTTTAACTCCAAAGTACTTATCTTTACCCTAGGAGGAAAAAGTGTTCATATCTTAACATATAATATTATGGGAACTGGAAGACAACAGGGGAACCAACCAACACTTCGACACACAACCATTCTTAGCATCCTCCCCTCCCATGAAGGACCAAAACCAAAAGACAAGCAGGACTTGAGTACCTCAACGTGTCCTGCATTAACAAGTTTGGAAGGAGAACACTGGGACTCTAAATAGATGATTTATAGTGTCCAACTTTGGCAGTCAACATGGAGCCACAAGAATTAGTCCTCCAGGTAAAATTTCTTTGAAGACCACTTGACTTGAAGAGGTCCAATGCCACATGTCCCAATGCTCTCCAACCAGTCGGAATGTCAGGGATTGTTCCCATAGGCACAGGATCTGTTCTGTTCAAAACAGTCAGCCTCCCAGTAGTCTTTTGAACATGCAAGGTGCCAATGGATAAGATATTCTCTGCCTGAGCAAAGAGATCCATTATCTTTTTCAACAGCAGGCTTGGTTCTTGGCTACCTTTCTGATTACGAACAATACAACAGCAGTATTGTACATGTGTAGTGTACCCCACCACTTTTGGGAGAGGGGGATAAGATTTGTCAAGGGTAATTTGACAGCCTTTGTCTCTAGGATGTAGACTACTGTGCAATACCCGGCACTGTGGATTTCCCTACCTGGAAGTCCTCCTTTATTTAGAAAGCAGAATCCATTTGAGTCTTAGATAAGGTTTCTCTGACAGTGTTCATTCTGTTTAAGGCTTTAGTCAAGTGATTCCTGACTGATTTGGGAGTGGTAGAGCTCATATAGCTTTCTAGACTCTCATTGTCTATCCCTGCCCCAAGGAGAAGTTGTTGAAGGGACCTCTCATGATATTGGGGACAGGGAATCAGGTTTTGACATAAAATATTATCCCTAGGAGGTTCATCAGATGTTTCCATAGCTGTATTAAGGCAATCTAGGCTCAATGCACACCATGGACATGCACACACAACCACACAGGGCTTTTCCATTGTGTCATGACCCTGTTTCCCACACTTGGAATGACTGCAGCAGAGGTCCCTACCCAATTATTGCAGAACTACAGGAGCAGCAAATGCCCACCCCCTCTCTCCTCCACGACAGGCAGGAGTGTTTCGCTCCCCCTCAGGGCATCAGGAATGGTATCAGGTGACCCACTCAATAAATACTTAGATCCCAGATGCTAAGGTGCATCTACTTGAGTAAACCAGGCCTACCACTCTCTTCTCTTTCTGCTGCACCCACAATCCTCTTCTCAAGTGCTGTTGGCAAGAGACCCCAGATCAGTAAGTTTGCAGTTATAGACACATATAGGGCACTTCACACCTCTCAGACTAATTCTTTCAGGCTGCCTGCAGATATCACACTGCATCAGCTATGCTAAGGTCACATATTCAAGTTTTTCTGCACAGCCAGAAGGGCTAGACACACTTTTTTATAGAATGAAACCCAATAAATTGATGTAAGCAACTGGCTGCAGGAGCTATGGCTATTAGCACTGACCTTCAGCACCTATGCATAGAATCTGAGAAATATAGAGCTGAACAAAGCTAGTCCATGCCCCACTCTGAAGCAGGACCACGTATCCCTAATCCCTGACAAGTGTTTGTTCAACGTACTGATGGGAATTCTACAACCTCCCTTGGTAATACCTTCCAGTACTTAACTATCTATATAAAGATAGTTATATATATAACTATCTTTCCCTTTTCTGGCTTGTATTCCTTCCCTCTTGTTAATATTAATTGTGTTGAGTTTTGGGTCACAATTAACTTCAGTAGTGCAGATGGAAGGAAAGATAATGTATCATCACCACACATGGCATTGCTAGTCCCTCTTTTGTGCCTACAGGCTACAGATCCTGAGATTTTCTTTATTGCACTACTGAGTTTTTTGCTAGGTTAAAAAAAAGTGGTCCTCATGAGCCAGTTATCCTCTCTGAACTACGGACAATTTATAATTTTATCTGAAAGTACCCTTCATTTTGTGACCAAGAACATATTTTTGAGACCTTGCCAATTCCAGTTGCTTTAACACTCTCTCTCTCTCATACAAACACACATACAGTTTAGTGCTGGATACTTTAAACACTACAAGCCTTGCTCTTTGACTCTGATGGAAGTCAATAGGGAGGGGACAGGTCAGAAGTCTTGAAAACATGTTGTTTCCCAACTTGAATCATAGAATATCAGGGACCTCAGCAGATCATCTTGTCCAACCCCCTGCTCAAAGCAGTACCAATCCCCAACTTTTGCCCCAGATCCCTAAATGGCTCCCTCAAGGATTGAACTCACAACACTGGGTTTAGCAGGCCAATGCTCAAACCACTGAGCTATCCCTCCCCCACTAACTTTGGAGCTGATGTGTATATAGGAGATGGTGCTCCCCTGTGAGCTTTGGAAGTAACAAGTGTGTGGGGGTAGGGGGAGAGGAAGGTCCTTCTGCGGCTGCTCGGGGACTTGAAGTTTCACAGTGGCAGAATGATCCCACTTTAGAGGCGTTAGTGAGTCTCTGTTGGTTGTCAATCGGAATCCTTTCAGTCTTGCCGTCCATGCCTTGCTACTTCCACTTCCATATTAATAAACTACGTGAGAGTTTACCCATCAGTCTGTCCCCAAGGAACAGAACTCAGAATATAAGCAGCTTTTACTCATCAAGTGTACACAAATATTTAATTAAATTCTATCATCCTATATTTTAACAACACATTAATCTGGAAAACTGGTATGTTTAGTTTGCTTCTCTAGTCTAGCATTCAAAATCCCTTTGATAGTATTTCATTTGGTAAAAAAGAAGCTCCAGAAAGATTTGTGCTGTGGGGGTTACACATCTGAGGAGCTATAGGAGTACCCAGTATCATCTCCTGTCTCACTGCTATGATATACAGCTTTAGGATGATGGAGTATTTTAAAATGCAGGTGTTCCAGTGGATCACCTTAACCAAGAAGGACTTGTACCCTCAAAAGGCATGTCTTTTAGCAAGAAAAAGAGAACTGAGGACAGACAAACTAAGGAGAAATGTTGATCCTCTAACAGTTTGACATTTTTAGCCTTTGGAACGAGAATGTATTATAAGGTGTTATGAGGCCCTGATGAAGAGAAATTTGCTTGAAAAAACCCTACTGAAGGCATTGAGAAGACTAGCAGTTCCTTCTTCACAAGATAACAATTAATCACAGTTCCCTTCCCAAACTGTTTACACTACTCTGCAGGAATCACCAGAATGACCAGAGATGGGCCCATGCCACAAAGCTTAGATTCAGACCTCCACTTCCCCAAGGTTAGGTCATGTCTACACTACAGGTGGTATACCGGCATAGCTATGGTGCATTTGTGTTAACGCAGAGTACAGCAATGGAAGGGTAGGAACTCCACCTCCCCAAATGATGGTAGCTCAGACAAGATGGAAGCATTCTTCTATCAACTGAGCGGTGTCTATACCAAGGATTAGGTTGGCAGAAATACGATCTGAAGGAGTGTGGATTTTTCATACCCCATAGTGCCATAGCTATGTCAATCTAAGTTTTAACTGCAGACCAGGCCGCAGGGGATCAGAGTTTTGATTCAGGCTCATCTCCGCTAATATCATACATTAGGCTTCAGGGTGGGGACCGTTATCCTTAGGTATATGCTTTCTGCTAATGTCAACAAAACAGTAGCAGGAAGTACCAGACAACTCCAAATGATTGAAACCAGTTGTGAATATAACGTGTGCCTGAAGAGACGTTGTGACTTTGTATCAAAAAGTAGCATTAATTTTAGCAAAGCCATTAACTTGAAACCACATGGCTCCATTGTAAATATCTAGCAGGGTTTCTAAAAAATGGATGATACAAAAAAAAAAGCAGATTTTTAATTAAAATCACATATTTGTACAAATTATA